AATGAAGCAGTTGGTTTTATTTTGTGGATTCAAGCTGCTCTTCATATTGTTGGCCACCAGATGTCACCAGAGAGGACTGTGTTGAAAAGCTTCGAGTAATGAACCGTTTTTCAATACAAGCTTCAGTGCTTCAGAAAGCTTCATTTGGCCATCACTACTATACTGGCTACTTGGTTATAGGATTTCGTGCTATACGTCTATATCCTTCTGCAACAGCACCCTATCTGAAAAAAAGGGAGGCAGCTTTTAAAGCAGCAGCCACCCACTGTGTAGATTCCAAATTCATAGAAAATATTGTTCTATCTTTGGTTCTATTATCTATATCTATTTTGTGAACTGTTATATATAGTCAGGTATTCTATATTTATCTAAACTAGCTTTTTAATATCAGTGTGAGCAAGGTTGCAGAAGTACATAAAAAGCTCACACAGCATACAGCAGTCATTCATACAAGTTGCCTTTTTTGAGATTTTAGCTTTTCAAATCAATCCTTATCCTACTTACATTTTATGGTTTCATGTTTGTGACGATAGGAAGCACAGAAATGAATCGGTCACGATGTAGCTCGGAGTCTCTTATGATGTTAAAAGTGAATTTATATTCAGTAACAATGTCATGAAGTTTTAAATGCACAGCGAAAATCTTCAATGCCAGTTTTATGTTATATGCATATATGTTAATACAGAAGTTATAAAGGAAAGAAATAATTATGTCTTTTGCTTGCTGTAAAAATCTGAAGAGATAAAAGGTTTGTAAATCTGCTGTTTTTTGTTGAACCTTAAAATGTTTGTCTGTAGAAATTCCTGTGTTATAATACTACAATAACTGTATTACACCCAGGAACACAGAGAAGTGTACTTATCCACATCAAACTAATTGCAATTAGTTAAAAATAAATTGTTAAAATTAAAAAATATTCAAAAATAATTATTAAGAAATAAAAAGAAATAAAAATATAAAACTTTGTATGTGTGGATATATGGAACACAGTTACCAAAGAAACCAAAAACGCTAAGATGCTGCAGTGTTACTTGAGCGTGTGAGGCCTGCTCTTATAAGTCATGTACAACAAAATATATACAATAATATATTTCTAAATGGCATTCTTCTTTTGAAATAAGAAACTCTTAACTTTGATTGAAGTCATTTTGTTTTATCATGAACTAAAGTAAAAATCCTTTTTCGTATTTTGGCGAGCTTAAATCCATATACAAGAGGATTCATAACAGGAGGAATGATGAGAAATTCAATGGCAATGAAGTTTTGAAGACTTTGAAATAAATCTGTGGAGTCAAGTCGCAGGTACACATACTGAAAAACAATTACAGACAGAAATGTGATCAAAGAGGTCAGATGGGGCACACAGGTCTGCATAAACTTTAACCTGTCATCCCTGGACCTCACAAATGTTTTAATAAGATGGGTGTAAGTCCACATTATGAAAAAGCCATGAGACACATAGAAGATAAATGTTACATATGAACTGATGTTGTTTGAAAAGGTGTCAGCTTCAGGACAAGCAAGTTTAACAATTAACCAGTTTAGACATAAGACTCTCTGAATACTAAAATAAATACATAAATAAATAAATCGCTCTTAAGTTTGATACTCAAAGTGAAACTCTTCTAACCCAAAAATAAATGTACACTATAACATGTTGAAAAATAACAGATGAAAACTGTGCAGATTTATGGACATATCATATATTT